CCATTGGATCTTGTCATATTGTTAGACCACAATCTTCATAATCCATCACCAGAATTAATAATGGCTAGGAATAGGTAGGTAGCCACATCATCCAGTGATTTGGTCAAATGGGAATACTTTTTGCTTACCCCAGAGTAAAGGATTAATAAAGTATTTCTTTCCTTCCTCCCTGTTCCATAGGCAGGGAGTAAATTGAAAGAGTGTTCCACTTTCGAACATTGTTCAAGTAATTCTCTTTGTGCTCCACCTAGAATGATATTTATGAGTGGGCCAGAGACCACCGTGTGCACCACAAATTCTCTGAGACGGATGCTGATCCCCACAATGCGAGTCGGGGTTTTTTCTTTGCTCATATTGGCTGGCTGTTGGTGCGCAAACACCCTGATGTCATTGAAAAAGGGCAGAAGCTGGACTTGTCTGACCTGAAAGCTGACCAAGTTGTGATGTTCCAGAGGAGGTGAGCAAGGATTATTGCAGGCATGGGAAATGAAAAGGATCTGGGAAAAGCGTTTGGCATGGCTAAATGACAATGTCAGCTGAATTCTTTTCATCATCTGCTGCAATTGCTGTCTGCCACGGAACTGGTATTTCAGCTCAAGTTTTTATTACTTGGCTAGAGACTAAAGGCCAGGCCTTGTGGCTAAGCCCTTATGATTCTTCCGTTGAATTCTTTTTTTTATTTGCTGCGTGTTATCTTCCATTTCCTACAGTATATCAGAATTATATATACATCAAGATAATTTATCAGTTCAGAAAATAATAAAAATTGAACTTATGGTGAAATAAAGATTTCCAGAATGTTCAACTCTATGAGTCAAGGGCAGCAGTTCAGATTTTTAACAGTCATAATTTGGAACTTGAGCATTCACTGCTTTTGAATGAAACATACCACCCTTGAGCAGTGTAGTAGGAGAGCTGTGTTGATCTGTGTCGGCAAAAAATCAGGAGTCTGGTAGCATGAAAGCTTGTGCCTTTTAATAACATTTGGTAGTCAGAAAAAGTATCACAAATAGTTTCCTTACTGAAAATGTAGAAAATCGAGTTCTGCCATGATTTCTATGCCACCCTATAGTTTGGTATATTAATGCATCATTTTTTCTTCTCAGGCATTACAAGACCTCAGTGGTGCTCCTGTGCTTCATGTTTCCTTCCTTGGTTCCTTGGTACTACTGGGGAGAAACCTTTCTCAACAGCTTCCTGTTGAATATTCTCCGTTACGTCGTAGTCCTCAATGCCAGCTGGCTGGTGAACAGTGTGGCACACATGTATGGCAATCGGCCATATGATCGCCACATCAACCCCAGAGAAAATCACTTTGTGGTCTTTGGAGCCTTGGGTATGTAAGGCGTAGGGAGCTGCCAGCTGCCATGGAGTTGGGGGTAGATTGTGGTGCTTCAGTTCTGGTTTTCATTTATTCTATTTCATCAGGGGCCCAGTGCAGATCAAGATCACTCTAGAAAGGATAGAGAAGACCTAATCCTTCCCTCCCCTGCTTTGTTGGATAGTTCAGACTTCCCTCACTCAGTGACAGGTTTTTAAAAGACCCTGTTATGGCCAATGGAGTTTTTCACTGCAGAGCCTGCAATCTTGTCTTATTTTTCCAAAGGAACCAAGAGAAGGATTATGTTTTCCCCTAGCTTGAAAATCCAGATCTGAGTCCTACCAGTGGAGGATATGTTAAAGTCATGTTTTAGTGTGAAGGCCCTTGGAATAGGCAGAGGCAAGCAGGTTGGCTTCGATGGTGAAATGGGTGGCTTAAGCAGCTTAAGCCTGTTCCACCAAGAAACAAGAAAAATGGGTCCAGTTCAAAGTGGGGAAAGTGTAGGGTTGTTTTAAAAGATAAAAGCCTTAAAGCTTTGCAAGGATTAAGACATTGGTTTTGCACCACCCAAAATAAAATATTGGGCAGAAAAATTTGTCTCAGCATTGGAGGCACAGCAGTGGTAACACAGCAACAGATCTTTCCCTCCCTCTTCTCCGCCTTTGAAAATTCCTTTCTGGTGTGCAGCAGCTGGCGTTAAAGCAGTCCTCAATGCTACCATGGCTCTTGGTTGTTGTGAGGTGCTTTTCAAAGAAGGTAGACACAGCCCCTTTTTCCTCAGCATCATCCAGTCCGAGAGGGCCTGCAGGGCAATTAGGTTGTGAAACAGCCTCCACTGACAGAAATAGAGGCTCTTGGAAAGCTTTGCAGATAACAGCATTTCCCTGCCCCACCATCAGCTACTCATCTGGGAGGTGGGGGGAGCTTTTTCCTGGAAACAGAGGGAAGGAAGATTTCTGGGCTAGAGGTTTCCTAAGGTTGGATTAAAAAAAAAGAAAGAAATCTAGACTTCATATCAAAATCTTGTTGTGAACATGTAAATCTTGCAATGGAAGACTCACTTTCAATGATAATTCCAATAGTAAATCAGCACTTAAAAGTGACTGAAAAGGAACCAGGTTTAACCCAGTTAGTGTTGTGGTAGTATGCATAAAAGATGAGTTATTTAATCCTGTGTTTTTAACAACAAGTTAAAGGTGGTAAGTACAGTCAACAATATATGCAACAATATAGGTATATCTACTGCTAAACAATGAAGAATAGGGAATTTAAATATGCTACCAAGCCAAGCACAAGGTTCTTGAACTGATCTGCAAAACCCGATTAGTGCTTCAAAACACGAGAAGACCACTAGAGGGTAAGAAGGAGCTCAGAAAGCTCTTTGCTACTCTCTCAACACTGCCCTCTTTGTGGAACTGCCTTGGGTTCACTTCCTTGTAGAGAAATGCAAGAGAAGCCTTTCCCAATTGCAGTACTCCCTCCCTGCTCAGAGATGCTGGTGCTTGGAAGCTTTCTACACGCACCAATATTCTCCTTGTCTGGACAAGGTTGTGATGCTGTGGTGGTGGTTGTCTTTTGTTTTGCTTTTCTATTATGTGGCTTGTGATTCTGTTCCCTGGCTTTAGGAGTATTTTATAAAGAAGAGGGGCTAGTAAATGTTACGAATAAATAATAAAAAGTGAAGGACCATGATGCCAAGAAACCATAATATATTCCAGTTTCAGACAAATGCATTTCCTGTGTCACGAGAGTGGGAACACTGAGTAGAGCTGGCTACTTCCCAAAGGCTACTCCTAGGGTAAGGAGGGGAAGATGGGCATTGCTTCTTACCATTTTCTTCTTGTTTCTCTCTCTCCTTAGGGGAAGGCTTCCATAATTACCATCATACTTTCCCCTTTGATTACTCAACGAGTGAATATGGCTGGCGGTGGAATTTCACTACTGGTTTCATTGACCTTATGTGCTATCTTGGCTTGGCCAGTGACTGCAAGAGAGTGGCCAAGGAGACCATCTTGGCTCGAAAAATTCGGAATGGTGATGGAAGCCACAAGACTGGCTAAAAATCTGTTTCTCTGACCTTTCTTTTCTCCTTGTCTTTCCAACAACTTAGTCATATATTTGATCTGTTTACTAGCTATTAGGACTGTGCAAAACATTGAACAGGGGAGGGGGCTTTTCAAAGTGCATTGGCACAAGTGAAGCATTAAAGCAGCTGTGAAAGGCCAGGGGCTGCTGTTTTGAAGGCTTTTCCTGGTTCTCTGCTCAGGTGTGTGCATACACAGCTGCTTTGCTTGGCTGACAGTCGAATCAGATGGTTTTTTTTGTGCATGCATGCATATGCAGATGTGAACAGTTAGGGTTGCCCCTCAAAGCAGCCAAGCCAAACTGTCTGGACATTGCAGCTGCATCATGCTTTGAGGGTGGATAATTTATTTTGCAAAGCCCCCCTTTCAAATGCTTTGCACAGCCACATAACTACCAAGCAATGTGTTCAAGATGCTTAAATGGGTGACTAACTCATTCCAGTATTGTCTTTTGAAACAATATATTCAAGGCATATAGCAAAACCTTTTTTTCCCCCAACTGGTCTTGGAGGCTGCTTTTTTATGTCTTTTCCACTCCTCTGCAAAAGTTTCCTTCTCTCTTCTCTGTTCTTTTCTCTGTCTCTCTCATTAGCAACTGATAAGACATCCCAATCAGTGTGTTCTGTGTTGGAAGAGGATTTAGTAGGATTGAAAGGACAGACTGGTACCAAAGTAGAAACTTCCTTTCTTAGAATGAGCAACAACTCATGATTGGCTTATGGTCACTCTTCTCCTTAGCTCTGGTGCTGTTGAAGCTCTCTTCTTTTTCTGACAGAAAAACAGGAATTGGACTTCTAGGTAGCAGTTCTGAAAACTATTAGAAATTGAGGAAGGGATGTGTATACTGAATGGAAAGGCAGGAGATAAGATCATTTTGTATGGGAAGCACGTAATTTTACAGATCAGTCCCAGAAGTAGTGGTTGATTTTTTAGTTGGCGCTAGGCAATTGGAGCTCCCCCCTTCCATATTCTCCTGTCATCGCTGCTTGTACTTGTAAAAGATCAGGATTCTGAGACGGCAAGATGGGGAAGTTATGCAAAGATGCTGATTGCTTGATAGCAGTGAAGTGAATCTGATTAAGAACATGCTCCAGGATGAAAAATGTATGCACTAAAGGTTTTTTTTTTTTTTGTAGCTGGAGCTCTTTTGTGTGCTGAAAGAACGAATTATATGTTGCATGCTTGGTGATATATGTAATAGTAGATATTTCTATTTAGCATAATATGAAAGCTAAAACGCATAGGCTTTCTCCAAAAGCAACTATGGGCTGAAGCTAAAAGGCTTAGGAAAAAGTTGTATTGTCTCTTGGAGGAGTGTCACGTTGTTCCTTAGTGATAAAGGCAGGGTCTGTTTAGACTTTTATCTTGCTCAGTCTCTCTTTTTAAGCAGTCTCCCCCATCATCTTCCTTGCAAATTGTGGGGCAGAACATTTGGCTGCTCTCAGCTTCATTTAGTGGATGTCTCCCTAGGCACAACTCTCACTCCCCTTGAGTGTTCAGTCTAAATCACTGCTTCCAAATAGGGAAGATATTGAGGCAGAGGCTGCACTATACCCTTATTTGATTTGGTTATCTCAGTATTTACTATGAATTAATGATGGGAACCCTTGTGGTAGTCATTGTGGAGACCTGACATTGTGAGTGGCAGAGTTTTTATACCAGAAAGAGGGTTTATTAAGAGCATGTGGTTTATTTTTTCATGTAGCCCATTAGGTCTCATCTTTAGGGCACTCATTTGCTAGCCAGTGGAGGACAAGATGTCCTTGCCACACCTACTTCTAGCAGTCTTATTGGTCTCTCCATGGCTCTTGTATTAGCCATGAGAATAAATGTACTACATAGAGGTCAAACAGAAGAGCAAGAATGGAGATCTCCATTCCCTGTTGCTCAGTTTCCCAAAAACATCTGGCTGGGCCCTGGAAGACAGGATTGGATGGATGACTGCTCTGACCCATCAGAGCTCCTCTAAATATTTAGGCTGATCTGAAAACTCTTGTTGCATCAGCAAAGACAAGGAGACTTGGCACAAAGATAAATATTTTGCCCCAGTTGAAAGCAAAGGTATAATAACCAGTTAGCTAAAGCTTGGTTGTACTTCCTTAATCACTCCAGCAGCACAAGGAAATAATGAAAAACCTCACTGACTTCATTCTTCTGGTATTTGGAAAGCTAGGATCTCAGACACCCTTGACTGAACATATTTTTTTTCCTTTTGAGTGCACCTTTAAAGAACAGCATGTACTGAAGGTGTAAAGAACAATAGTTTTGCTGATGGACAATTGTCAGTCCTATAGGTATTTACTGAACTTGTCATTATTGTATACTTACAAAAGTGAATACAACTGTTAAGGATTTCAGAGGGTAGGAAGTTATTACCAGGCTGGCAGGACTTCCTGAAAAATCTTAGCTGTTAGTTCTCTTAGCTAGAGAAGTCCTAGGACCTTCTCTTCAACTGAGGAAAGAGAAAGAATGTACTTGGGAAGTTTTTGCCCAGAAGTAAAGAGTTTAACGAAAACCTTATAAAAGCTCTGAGTTATGCAGCCTGCAGGTTTGAATTTGAGGAAGATTTAGTGAGAAATTCCCTTTTTTCAACAGCAGAGCAAAAGGAAAAAACAGGGACAAAAGAAAGCAATGATTACATAGCACAGTGTTTCTCAACCTTGGCCATTTTAGGATGCTTGCTGGGAATTCTGGGAGTTGAAGTTCACACATCTTAAAATGGCTAAGGTTGAGAAACACTGACACACAGCAAAGAGTCTAAATGAAATCAATAAAGTCTCTGACTTAGCTAATTAGATGCTATGTGCTTTATGAATCTTTGTTTAGAGGCTTATACTGAATTTGAAGGTGATGGTTTGGTTAGATGCTGTTAGAAAAGCACAGGTGCAGAGCCTCTGTCTCTGACATTTGTGGGAACCTGATATCAGTAAAAGCCAGCTTCTAAATGGGGGATTTCCTTTTGTCCAAGAATGTAGCCCCCTTCATTTTTTATGTCAGTGGCGTAATGGGCAAAGAGATCACAAAAAGATCATATGATGGCACATACGGATTCTGCCATAAGATGTTTGGAATTAAACAGGCCTGGTAAAAATCCTCTTTGTTTTCCTCCTAACTCTGGTAACATCAAGCTGTAAACTGGTCTATTTAGTCATGTGACAGAGGCAACAAAAAGAGGCAAACAAGCCTTTATGCTAACATGCCTTTTCATCCTCAGGATGGGGTTTTAAAACAAAGGCGTCACCCCCACAGAGACCAATGCAATTGGACACTTGACTGGAGCTGTGTGAACTTATGAATGGGATGTTAGTGAAAGTACAGGGAAGGAAACTTAGTTCTTGCTAATTGGACAACTATTTGGATGTGCCCTGTAGGTTCGGGTTGGTGTTTGTTTTTTTAAACATACATAGGTGTATCGAGTTATTTAAGTCTTATATTTTCATCTATGTAAATTATTTCTGAAGTGTCTTTCAAGAAATATGTTTACATTAATTATTCACCTGCATTCAATTGTGGATACAGGGACTTTTTTTCCTGAATTTAATTCACTTTTTGTTAAGTTAAAGGCTTTCATCACTTGCAGAAACTAGCCTTATTTGCTGAAGTTTGTGCTCAGTGCAGAACATTTTAGCATGTGTTCTTTCTCTCTCTGACTCTTGCTGGGCGCTTCTGGAAGAGGCTGCTAACGTAAGATTCCCTTGCTCCTTCCTCAAAGAATCGGGGTGTCAACATTTTCTTCCATGTTTTCCTACTGCTTCTTTGGTTGTTGTTTTTTTAACCATGGAAAATCCATTATGGAAGGAATGAAGGAATTGCTGTTCAATGCCTTTTGACTGATAATACTGGAATCGTGTTGTTTGGCTTGGAATGATGTGTGGGTATTAAGAGAGCAAGGTCTTGCAGTCAGAGCAGAGTCTTCACGTTCGGCAAGGCTGCAGCCTCTTCTACCTGCCCTAACCTGGAAAAGGGACGTGACTTAACTCTTCCATGGCTTCAGGTCTGATATCTACATTACTGTATTTCAGTTTACTATTTAGGACAACGTTGGCTTGCATATCTGCTTTCTAGATTAATTAATAATATGTTTGTAGTAGTAATTTAATATTACTTTGTTTTGTAACACTTGCTGACAATATTCTAATAAAGATAATATTATCAAACCATCAGAATGTGATAGGCAAGCAAGTTTATTGCTCCCTTCCTTTTAAGCTGAAAAGCAGAATATCTAAACAGTTGGTGTGAAAGTTAATGTGTATTGTCTAAGCTCCAAAGCTCTTGAAGTTTGGGTAGGATCTTTCTTTTTCCATTTCTGATGTTTTCATATTTTATGTGCTGAAAAATAATTTCTTCTAATATGAGACTTGAAGTTATGTTTTTGTTTATAATAAAATAGTTGATTTTCAAGTTCTTCAGACTTTCTGTGAATCCACCTTACAATCCCCTTGTTTGATTCCTACTCCCTAGGCCTCCTTAGAGGTACATTTTTCCTTGAAGGAGAGACTTCTATGGAAACTCCATGGACATCTGATTTTAAGAGTATAGCTACAAGAGCACCCCATATAGTCAGAGACACCTTTGCCTCTTTGAATCCAAAATACTGCACAATCCTACAAATGTATAGGCTGAGAAAGACTAGAGAACGGAAGTGAACTACATAACAATTGTTCCCAAATCTCCCGGGCTGCTTCTGTCAACCAGTCTCCTTTTTCTAGTTCAGCCAGTTCAAAAATAAATTCCCCAGAATTAAATGCCCATTTCAATGCTTGAAGGTCTTTTGTCTTGTTAGCTAACTAACTAGGCCAAATGAGTCTACCTTTTTTAATCAGACTTGTTGATTTACTTGGGAACCTTCCTCATTCAAATTACTGGAGGCTTCAGGGGAAAGTGAGCGAGCTATTTTGAATGCTTTTATTTTGCATTGTTTAATCCCTGCCTGGAACACAAGAAACTAGTCCAGGCTGAAATATATTCCATTTTTTTTAACATATAAATGTTACTAAAAATTTTAAAAAGAAGACAAAAACTAATACAAAGTGAAGAAAGAAAAGAAAGGAAAAAGAGAGAAAGAAAAGGGCAAAGGTGCAAAAAGAAAAAAAGAAATAGAAAGAAGCTTCCAATTTCCTCTGCAGCAAATAAAAGTATGATTTCAAAATTATCTCTTACTGTATGGTTACAGTATTCTCTGGTTTGAATTGTACATTAGTCTTTAAAATCTTCTGAATTACAGCTAAAATTGTTGTAAACAACTTGTCCTTATTCAATAATCGTTATATTATATTATATATTATATTATGTTACATGATAATATGTTATATTAGCCTCTTTCTAGGTCACCAGGCTGATTTCAGTTCAGGCCCTATGCCAAGGGTGTGGTGACAACCTCAAAGCCTGCAACTCAATACATGACATTGCCAGCTCAGAGTTGGGCAACTGACAGTCCCAAGTTCATGTGTTACTCAAGTTCATTTGCCTAAAACTGCAGAGTAAATGAGAGTAAATGAGAACCTGGAAGAAGATTGATTCTGCAACACCACAGCTTGGAGTGCAACCCTGCTTACTCAACCAACCATACAATAACTGGGGAAAATCAAGGATATTCTTGTCCACTCATACCTACTGTGTGTGATAGATACTGACAAATGCTTTAAATTAGCCTTCATCTGGGAATGTTCTCTCTGTTTCATTTTCCAGCTTGACTGAAATTTGGATGTTGAGACCAGAGACCTTAGGCCACCTTTTGTTGGCCCCAAATTCCCAGAATCCTCTAACAGGCATGTTAGTCACAAAGAATGCTTTGATATCTGTGTGAAGCCCAGGCTGGAAAAGGCAGCCCTAAACTTTGAAATCACTCTACCAACTCATAGCAATCAGATTAAAAGTGACAGCTCTAGAAGAGTTGTATTTTACTTTGAAATTGTATTTTTACAATACTCTAGATAATTACAGATACTGTGTACATGGAAGGTATGATACAATTGTGCTATTTATTTATTTATTTTTCAAATTTAGGCACCACCGATCTCATGAGGGAGTGACTCTGGGCAGTTTACAATAAAAACGACAAATAAATATTAGTTAAAATATAATAAAAACAGTACAAAAACACAATAAAACCAAATACATACATAAATAATAATACCTTCCAAGATGCTGGTGATCGAAAAGATTCTAACATATGGGAGCATCTTCAAGGTCCTGGCCAACCCCCCGGGTTGGTTGCCCCCTTTCTCATCCCATGCAAGTTGACAGACTCAGGTCTTGACTGCTTTCCGGAAGGTCAAGAGAGTAGGGTCCTGCCTCACCTCTGAGGGAAGGGTATTCCATAGGGCGAGGGTCACGGCAGAGAAGGCTCTCTTTCTGGGCCCTGCCAGTCAACATTCTTTCATTGACGGGGTCCGCAGCATACCTTCTCTGCTTGACCAAGTGGGATGGGTTGATATAATGGGGGTGAGACGGGCCCTCAGGTAACCTGGTCCCATGCCATGTAGGGCTTTAAAGGTGATAACCAACACTTTGAATTGGACCCGGAAGCAAACTGGGACCCAATGCAGCTAACGCAGCAAAGGTGTAAAGTGTCATCTTCGGGGCACCCAAAATTGCCCTTGTGGCTGCATTTTGAACCAGCTGTAGTTTCCAGATACTTCAAGGGTAGCCCCACGTACAGCGCATTGCAATAGTCTATATGGGAGATGACTAGGGCATGAGTGACTGACTGGAGGGACTCCTGATCCAGGATAGGGTGTAACTGGTGCACAACACGTAGTTGAACAAAGGCCCTCCTGGCCATGACTGCCACCTGCTCTTGGAGCAGGAGTCGTGAGTCCAGGAGGGCCCCCAGATTATGCACTGGGTCTGTCTGGGGTAGTGCCACCCCATCCAGAACCAAAGATGGTAAACTTCCGGATCCAGAGGAGCCCCCAATCCATGGCCACTCCATCTAATCAGGGTTCAGCTGAAGCCTGTTGTTCCCCATCCAGACCCCCACAGCCTCCAGGCACTACAAAAGGGTAGTCACAGCATTACTCAAATCATCTGGTATGGAGATGTATAACTGGGTATCATCTGCATATTGATGATACTTCATCCCATGGTGGTAGATGATCTCACCCAGTGGTTTCATGTAGATGTTAAAAAGGAGTGGGGAAAGTACCGAACCCGTGGTACCCCACAAAGGAGGAGCTGTGGGCTGGACCTCTTGCTCCCTATCAACACCGACTAGGACTGGCCCAGGAGGAAGGAGGTGAACCAGCACAAAACTGCCACCCACCCCCAACTCCCTGAGCTGTCCCAAAAGGATACCATGGTCAATGGCATCAAAAGCCTCTGAGAGGTCAAAAAGAGCAAGGATGGATGCGCTACCCCCATCCTGCTCCCACCAGAGATCATCCAAAAGTGCAACCAATGCTGTTCGAGTCCCAAATTCGGGCCTGAAACCCAACTGAAGTCCAACTATTGCTTGTTGGAATAGGGACTAGTTGTGGAAAATCTTGTTTGGAATACTGAAATAAGAGAGTTGAGAGAGAAGGAGAGAGACATTTGAAGTTTTTAAAGGGAGAGATTGAGGATCATTAAAGTCATTTAAAGAGCTAGCAGTTACATTTATGTAACATACTAAGCTTGATTAGATTTTCTTAGGCTGAGCATGTTGTGTGAGCCAGGCCCATTTGGGAAGTTTATGGTTT